TGTCCCATCTTGAATCTAATACTTCCTCTCTAACAATCAATACAGTTTTCGGTCTTCTCATTTATGGGTGACTTGCTCACCCATAAATGAGAATAAGATAGAGGCAAGGGCTATTGCTCTTGACATCTTGATAAAGTTAGCCCTGCTTGTTTTCTCCACAAGCTCACTTCATACAATGTATCTGGAAAAAAATTTTTATCAATTAAATAATTTCTTTCTTTGATTAAATCATTTCTTTCATTTAGTCATCCTCAAACACCCTTCCTCATTTCCAGTAACTTCTTGAATTCCTCAAGGTTCTCTATTTGGTCCTGTGTTGTTTCTTATCTACATTATTGATCTTCCTGACAGTCTTACATCTAAAATAGCTCTATTTGCTGACAGCTCAACTTTATACTCCTGTCTTGACAAAAAGTCAAAACAGGAGTATAAAGTTAACTAATTAATTCTATTTGATGTAACCTGCTTCATAATTAAACTTCATGTAATGTGTTGATTAACTTTTAAATAATATATTATTTATAATGTTTATGAGTTTCAGTTTTTATTTTTGTAGTTATTATCTTGAGATTAATTTTTTAAATAATTTGTTTAATTTGAATGTCCGAAAAAATTTCTTTTCTTTAGCTGAAACTTCTTTAACCCTTATATAGCAACTAATCCTTATATACAATAATATATCCATAATACTTTTTTCTGTTGTTTTTATTAGATTTTTGTAAAATCTTCATTAAACAACAAAAAGATTATTGTATACACATAAAAAGGATAATCTTCATAAATGTAAGTCCCACAATATCCAGTTTTGAAAGTCACAAAATCACTATTTGTTCCTAGTTTTTGGTGTCTAGCAGCAATCAAGGCATGTGGAGTATGAGAACTTATGAATTTTGAACTTAATTTCCATATGTAATATGGTAGCTAAGGACTTCAGGCTAAATAATAGTATGTAAATAGTAGGTTTAAGGGCATTAAATCCCCAGTATTTTTATCTTTATGTATTCTATCAACATTTTTAGAGCTCAGGACACTAGTGATCAGAATAAAGTAAAAATTTTGTGACTTTTAATATTAAGGTTTATATTAAGACTTCACCAGTGTGTTAATTCCCAATTGTAGTTAACAAGGGAAATTCTCAATAAATTTAAAAAAATAAAAAAATAATTACTTGAACAAAAATAAAAGTTTATAAAACCATTAAAAAATTTGACTAAAACACGTTTATTGTAAAGAGGAAATCTTTTGTTAGAATTATTTAAAAAGATTTGTTAGATAACACAGGCCTTGTTTTAAATAAAAAATGTGAATTTTGATGTTAAAAAACTTTTTTTTTATGGGCATATTTTTGAAACTACTGCAATATGATAAATTACTGCAAAATGAGTTCAATTGAAAAATTAACTCAACAAAAACAATGTAGAAATGTTATTAAATATATCATGGAATGTTTATTTTTGAAAAAATAACATCTATTTTTTTTTACATTTTTAAAAATTTATTAGGTTAGCACTTAAACAAAATTCAAGCTTTTGTAACTTTTAAAAATAATTTTTATTCAAACTTTAGGGTGTTTTTTATTTAAGTTAACTTGTTCTTTTATTGTTTATATTTATATATATATATATATATATATTATTAATTCTTTTATCTTATCTTAAGATGAATTTAAAAAATAATTTAAGAAATAATTTTTCTAAACTGTTTATTTCGTTTTTAACACTACTTTCTAAAGGAGTTTCTAGAATTAAATTATAAATATTTATAGACGTTATAAATATTTATAGACTCACTTTTAGTATCTCATGCTTAGTTTATTTTAATTCAGTGATAAATTATTTTCACTGTGAGTTCAATATTTATTTGCACCTAAATTTAAATGAAGTTACAGCTCTATTCATTTCTGTTGTTATTCCATCAAAGCAAGGCCTTCTTAAACAGGCCGCGACAGCTCATTTTCCGTAAAATTAGCGAAGGCCGACTTTTATACGGTTAAAATTATTTTTTATCTTTGCTTTTGTAAACAAACTTCAGAAACAAATAAAAAGCTTTATTAGGACAAAACATTTTGATTGAATTTCGAAAGCAAATATTGTAGGAATTTTTTTTACGTTTAGAAATAAGTTAATTACAATAAAAATTTAAGGAGTTTAGCTAAAAATGACTAAATCTCGTTTTTATAACTATATGTTAATTTTAGCTGTTTAACACTTGTAATACAAATAATAAATTTTTTTTATAAAAACAAACAAATATATTAACTTTATTTTATTAAAATTATTTTGACTTTTTTGACTCAAAGAATTTTATTTTGAAGTTAAAAGTTTTGCTTGTTTTATTAAACATTCCTTCCCAAAATCTTCAGAGTGTTTTTTACAATAATTGTTTAAAAAAATGTTTGCCAAAATGCAGCAAACTTTTTTAACACTTTGAACAAGCAATTGAAATTTACTATTGCAGTTAATAAAAATGTCAATTAATCCTTTCTTGCACAGCAATGGTGAAACTTTATTCACAAGTGTCACTTCAAATATAAAAAAAACAATAAAAAACAAAGTAGACTAAATTGTCAGAAGGTTCTCTTAGTCTTCCCCTATTCAAAGAACTGATCAAAGTTCCATATTTTTGAAACATATCAAAGCTGTCTGTTTCTTCTAAAATTGAATGTAATTCTGGAAGTTTGTAAGCAATAAAACCTGCAATATATAAAAGTCCTTGTTTGCATTCATTTGGCAACTAATCCTCACAATTTTCACATATTGACATAATAAACTCCACATCAAGTTCACACTTATCACAGTGGTGGTGAGCAGGAGGAAATATTGTAAAATCTGTATGCTTGTCTAGCAACTTTCTAGTTTTGTTGATTCTAAATTTTTGAATAACATTTTGCACAGTTATCAGATATGTGCCACCTGACCCTTGCCGATATTTCCTAAACTGTTTTTCTAGTGCATCTGATTGCATATGTCCTAACAATACATAAGATACACCACAATTCAACAAATACTTGACACAGCTTGCTAATCTTTTAGCAGTTTTTTGCAAACACTTGCAGTATCCATTGTTAAATTTTTCTCTCTTAATTTTGAATTTACGCATTTCAAATTTTCAGCAAAATACGAAGTATAGTTCTCTAAGAAATCTATTTGCCAATCATTAACTGAAGTAACAGGCTTTCTTTGAATATCATTTAATCTAATATCTAGACCTTTTGCTTTACTGTTGACAATAAGCAATCACTTAACAACTGTTTCAACAAAAAGTGCAGTATATTCAGCTTCAGGAAATTTTACACGTATTGCTGCAACTGTTTCATCACAAAAAACTTTAAGAACTAATCCAACATTTTGTCGTTCAATTGGTTTTGGTGACAACTTAACTATTCGACTATCTGCAGCATGAAGTTGAATTATAAATTTCCATTCTGCAAGTCGCACAGTATCGTTATCATTTAGCAATCTATATTTTAAACATTGCAATTTTTCAGTGATCCAATTATTTCGAATACATTTTAAAATATGCACAGTGTCATTTAAAAGATAGTATGCTGGAACTTTTTTTGCATTAAAATATTAAAATATTTTTTGGTTTACTCGATAGTAATCCATTATTAACCAAGAGGCTTTCCACCTGCAATTATGATTTGTTGATTTAATTCTTCTATCACGCTTGTTTGAAAATTTGTTGTAACTTTACAAACTGGAAAAACTTTTATAACAAGTTGTGGGCCACCAAAAAGACAAAGGAGCATTAGTGCTAATGGTGTATTGTTTGTTTTATTTAATAAAGCTACTTGATGCCTAATATAACTTGCTCACTTAGAATCTGTTTCATTATTAATAACATAACTAACAGCATTCTCCAGTTGAGAATAATATTTAATAACTCCTTTGTTTAAAAAAGACAGTTTAATTTGTAAAAGTTGGCTATATCCAGTAAAATAAATATCTCCAGAATCTTCTAAAGTTATATATATTGAAAACTTAGGTACTGGTCCACAATGTTCATATGATATTAAAGATGTATTTTTTTCTTTTTCAACAAAATAAAATTTTTCTTCACAGTAATTTATTATTGACTTCAAATTTTTTACAATTGTATTAAATTGAATAACGTCCATTTTTTTGAAGTTAAAACTCATCACGAACTCATCAGGTAAAATATTTCTTTCACTGAAAGAAATATATTGAAATATGAAAGAACCAGTGTCTTGTATTCCAATAGTGTTTAGAAAACGAGATGTCACTGGGTTGATATGACTGGGTTGATATGCTCTGAAAGTTTCAGAGCATATCAACCCAGTCATATCAACCCAGTGACATCTCGTTTTCTAGACACTATTGGAATACAAGACACTGGTATACCTTTAAAGACTGATGGAGGATGCACTGGAACAAAACTACCACCTTTGACTCTTTTTAATTCTGGAAGTTTTTTAATCCATAACTCGCGATCCCAGGATTTAAAGGGGAATCTATACATTGTGACATAAACATTATCTTTTACTTTTGATTTGTAATTTGAGGAGCAACCATAAACGCAGCATTTATTAGGCATTTTACGAGTTTAACTATTATAGTTTAAATCAAACAACCAAAATCCTCATTGAAACTATACTTCTCCGTAAAAAAAATCGGCCTTCGCTAATTTTACGGAAAATGAGCTGTCGCGGCCTGTTTAAGAAGGCCTTGCATCAAAGGCAACAGCTGTTTCTATTTTAAAATTTTTTTAAAATTTAAAATAGAAACAACTGTTTTTAGAAAAATATTCTTATCAAAAGCATGGTATGTTTTAATATAAATTTCTATTTATAATATATAATTTTAGACTTTTTAATATAAATAGTGACAAATGTCATTCATCATTTATTTTGTTGTTGAATTAATTGATTTAAGTACCTTTTTTTGTTTTTTTAGCTTTTTCTAACTGAATTAAGTGAATATATAATTTATTTTTACATCCCTGATAACTTTATCTACTGACAATGTATAATTTCTCACCAATAAAGAACTTCAATATCATTATCAACATCAAAACGAAAGTGTGCCATTCCAAGAAAATTTTCTTCATGGTCTTTTACCAAAAGATATCTATGAAAAATGAAAAAATATGAAAAAAAGTTTATTCTTTTTTATTGTTATTTTATTTATTAAACTTTATACTTTATGTATTGTCAGTCTTAAAACAGTATATATACTGCTCACTTTGATCCTTAGTTTAATTAATTAGATTTTACTGGTCACTTTAATCCTAAGTTTAATTAATTATTTTTTTAAAATCCTGAGTTAAATGACATAAAGAAGACAAAGAAGATAATAAATAATATTATTGAAAAAAGTTAATCTTTTATCTACCCAAACCTACTGAATTCTCTGCAAACGGCTGTTTCAGAAATATTATTGGTGTTTTATACAACACCAAAGTAAACAAATGATATTTTATACAAAACCAAAGTAAACAAAGATATTTGTACAACACCAAAGTACACAAAGATCTTTGTACAACACCAAAGTACACAAAGATCTTAATACAACACCAAAGTACACAAATAATGTTCTATACAACACCAAAGTACACAAAGATCTTTATACAGCTAGTGGCATGGCACTTTTAAAAATATTTAATTTTGTTATACTATACAATTTGCTTGTTGAACAGGATTTCAAATTATCTAAGATCTCTGACATGTTCAGTTAAATGATAATAATTTTCAAAATTTATTTTCCTAAATATAAGGATATACTTCATTTTCAACAATGGTTAAGAAGAAATTTTGTTTTGCAAAACCTAAAAAATTCTAATTACTTTAAACATTGAAAAAATATCAGATTTAACCAAAAAAAAAACTGAATACAATCATCAGATTAAAAATTTTTAAATTATGTGCTAAAATTTTTTATTGCATAGCTACAAATTCAAAATAAAAAAATTAACTCTAAAAAAATTATATGTAACTTTAAAAACAATATGTAACTGTCAAATTGTTAAAAATAACTTTTATTGTTTATAACTTAGAATGTGCAGGATGTAAATCTTGCATAATCTAATTTGTACTGGATTTACATCCTGCACATTCTAATCACCATCTAAAGACAAGAATGATCAAAAACTCTTCACTCAAATGAAAGTTGTTTTAACAGTTATAATAAAAAGCCATGTTCTTTCAAATAGTTTATTGTTTGGTTGTGCATTCATTATCATCATTCATTATCATTATTTTTGCATACATGTTTCTGCACAAGTTTGACGTTCTCAAAGTCTTTTTTTTTTCCCTACCAAAGTTAGTCTTTTCTTTGTTTTATTTTTTTAATGGTGTACCTATACCTCATGCTGTTTTTAATCTATCAGGCTTTGAAAATCCATCACTTACAATGTATTAATTTTTGGTGTTTACTATTTTATAATAAAATTTTCTACTATATGTAGTTGAGTTATCAATTTGCAATTTTTTCACATGAAAAATACTATTACTAAAGTATTAAGGAAAAGATATTTTGTATTAAATTGCTATTATCATGTAAAATAATTGACTTAATCAATTTATATTTTATTTAAACAATAAACTAATAGCCTCCAACCTGCTTCTCTTTAAAAGAGTGTTTTGAACTATATGTAAATATAAAAATTAAAAAATATTAACTAAAAATAATGAATTTGGTGTATTTTAATTAAAATTCTTCTTCAAATAATTCTTCATCGTAATCATCAACACCTAAACATTATTATCAAAAGAAGCAGTGTTCTCACTCTTAAAGCAATTACATAGTTCTGAACACTAGTGCTAAATGTTAGTGAAGTAGATCTTCTTTTGTTATTGGGTTTAGATCTTTTTTTCCACTCTTTTAATAAGGACTTTGTAAAGTTTTGGTAACATTTTAAATGATAAAATGGAGAGCAAGTGCTTCCTATAAGTCTAGCTGTAGCATAAAGGTCCTTAAATGAATTATCTTTTCCAACAAAATTGAGAGAATTCTCCACAACAGTTTTCCCTTTCCCTGCAAGAGAAAGCCATTTTGTTCTTTTTATGCAGAACTTTTTTTGAAAACTTATTCAACATACCAACAATTCCACTTACATGAGCAATACAAATTGGTTTGTTGCACTCGGCTGACATTTTGTATATGAATAATCAAAAATATTATCGACTTTGCGTATTGTTGTGTAACTTGTAGAATATAATTTTAGAGTTTATGGCTTTTTTTTAGAGTTTATTTTCTGCAAAATAAACAAACATTAAAACGATAAAAATAAATATGGCATAGAGGAATTGAAACATGCATGTTGAAAATGAGAATTGCAAATTGAAAAGATATACATCTTTAAAATTTCTCATTTACATGCTGAAGAAATTTAGCCATAGACTTATTTTACTATTAAACACATAAAAGTATGAAAAATGGTTCAATATTTTTTAAGGCTCATATTAAAAAGAAATACTGTATCAATCATAAATTGCTCAAAGAAGTAGTTTTAAAAACGGTTTAAAAGCTTTTAATTTGCAAAATAAACGTGAAGACAGACAATACACAATTAAAAATTCTTTAATAAGTTGTCAAATAACAATGTAATTTTATTTATTACTTTATTTGAAAGAAGCAAATGAAATTATATAATTTCTCTTTTACATGTTCGACAATTTAAAAGTAGTTGTGCAATATTTATTTATTATTGGTTCTTGTACACACCCATACCTTATGGATAAACCTTATGGTTCCGCATGTTAACAACAGCGAGAATCCAACATTTCTAGTTCCAGTTTCTAGTTGCAAATCTATACAAAACCCTTACAGTTTTAATATATAGTATTACGTAGGGACCCATACAGAATACCTGGCAGGTTAACACATATGTTAGAATCCTAAGATAGAAAATCTAAGATAGAAACCACTGTCTAAACAGCATCCTGGAATGCATTCCATATGGGTTCCAGTTAATGACCCAAATAGTACCTATATCATTGTTGGCTGGATAATGTTTTAGTTATACTTAAAGAAGCCATAAAATGTTACTAAGCTTCCTTTTTTTTTTTGAAGTTTTGTTTTATGTAGGTATAGTATTTCTAGAGTAATGAGAAAATATGATCAAAATATAAACTTAGTTTTTAATATTTTGTGCTACCATGTAAAATGGCGGGGTAAGAGTTATTAGGTAGTTAAAATAAAAAGTAGTAACTTGGAGAATGGGTGGTACATAACATAACTACATAATTTGTTTAATATTATTACTTAATAATATATTGTTTTGAACTATAGTTCATAAAAAATATTACTCAAACTATTTATAGATAATAAAAAATCTCTTTAAGATGCTATAATAATGGTCAGTACAAGACTTACCATGACCAGTATTATAGCATCTTAAAGAGTTACCATGACCAGTATTATACAGGTCATGGTAAGTCCATTGTTCCACATATTTAAGTCATTTCACATTTTTTGAAACTTATACCAGTGGTGTTAAATTAACACATTTCAAGCAGGTATTCTAAATATTATTTAGACTGGTACCAAAATTCAATCCTTTAATAAATGGCAACATATACCAAAACGCTTTTTAAAGTTATTTATAATAGAAAAAAGTTTTTTAAAGTTATTTATAATAGAAAATTTTTTTTATAGCTTTAAAAAGTAAACAATAAGTATAGTGTTTCTATATGTATATAGTTATTTTTCTACCTCTTATTAAAAATTATTTAAGTAAGGATTAAGTGTAGAAAAGGTCAAATAGATTCCCAAGACCCGCATTTTATAAATTTTATAATTTCCCGCATTTTATGCGTCATGACAACTAGTTTTCTTAAATTTAATATTTACATTTTTAAAGTAGTATTCAATGTATAAAAATTTATAGAATTTTCTTAAACTTAATATTTACATTTTCAAAGAACTTTTAATAGTGTTTTTAAAAATAATTTTTTCATCAGCTATGTAAGGAAAAAGTAAATAAAATCTTGCCCTTATTGTTTTTATAAAAAGTTAAACATTTTATTGTAACGTATTATTTTTGAATTTGTTTTGTTATTATTTTCTTTATTACTTTGTGTTGCTATTTTATTTTACCAACAAATTAAAAAATTGTCAGGGATAGACAGTAAAAAAAAAAAATTGTTTGTGGGCAACAAGAAGGCTGATGTTGACACTGGTAGCTATGGTCTGTCCATTCTATGTGGATCATTTTAATCATCCTTGCTTCATATGCTATTTCATTTTTTTAATCAATTTTTATAAAATCAAATTTTATAACAACTAATTTAAAAAAAGAAACTCTTAATGAAACACATTAAAAATAACCTTGCATTATGTTCTTGCATTTCTTCGCGCTTTTTCTTTTCACTCCATCCCCAACTACTCAGTTGGTACCTAAAAAGTTCATATAATTACCATAATTACTATTATATAATAAAAATGATTGTTTACTTATATTACAGAATGTAACCATACAGAATGCACAGAAAGGACACATTCTGTTAAATTCAATACTTCAATAACCAGATCCTAACATTTGATATTTTAAATATATTTCATTAATAATTATTGCAATTAACTTGTTATTGTTACCAAAAGGAACTGGGTTAAAAAAACATCAAAATGATATTATAGGAAATCTAAAATTTAGATAAAAAAAAACTAATAACAAATTTCATTAAAATTTTTTTTTTTTTGCAAAATTGACATAAAAAAAAATCTAAATTTTTTATATTAAATCTAAAACTAAATGAAAAATTTTGATATTAAATGATTATTATTTCTGAATTTTCTATTTTTGTATTAAATATTTTGTATATTGTTCCAGGTTGGTACTTGGCAAGGTACTTAGGAAGAATTTTCAAAATACAAGTGTACAAACATCAACAGGTTTGAGTTGGGGCAGCTGATATACAACTAAATCTGACTAAACTATGCTGTATAGTATAATGTCAGTTTATAGTTAATATTCAATTAATAATGTATAATTTAACAAATAATAGTAATAATAATAATAATAACAATAATAATAATAACATATATAATTTTTATAAATATTTTCAAAAGTATGTACTTTTTAAACTTGCATATAACAACAAACTTTTAAAACAATAGAGCTAAATAAAATGTGTTCTTAAAATGATGGGTTAGATAGTTTTTTGATTTTGGGCCTTTATTTCTTCTTCAGTAGAAATCCCTATATAGACATGAAAGAGAATTGAGATTAAACTCTGGGATTAATTGAGATTAAAATTGAGATGAAATTTTATTGTAATTTAGCGAATGATGTTAGTAAAGGTATCTATATAATTAATGAAGCATCAAGATGTACTTTTCATTGAGTTTGTCATACAATAATATAGTTTCCAGTCTCAATTTTTTTAGGCAGTTTTCCTGCTCTATTTTTTTTAAAACTAACATGTACTTTTTTATTTATTTATTTTTTGCTGTATACATTTAATTATACCATAAACATAAGTAATTACAAATAGCAGGGGTAAGAAGACAAATTATCTTAGAAGTAAAACTACAGCATATAAAACCTTTTTATACAGACTATATAAAAAAACAAACAAAAAAATTTAAAATTCGTAGGTCTTGAATATCTGAATTTAACTAGGATAATCCACATTGAAAAAAAAAAAAAAATTATATAATATAACAAATAATGTAAAGGTAATGCAAACAAATATTTGCAATTGCAAAAAAAAAATATTACAAAATTGACAATTTTAATACCATAGTAAAATATTTAGCAAAGATATATATTTTTAAAAAACCTTCACACAAATACTCATAATCCTAAAACTTTCTTTTTAAACCAGTGAAATATTTGGAGTACATGGTGAAATTTTCATAGAACATAAATTTTTATAAAAGAAAAAACTGAAGCAATAAATATTGACACAATTCTTTCTAAGTCTGAAAAGTTGATAATGACAGACATTGGTTAGGTTTATCAGTACCAACCTGCAAAACATATTGCAGATTTGAGTATTGGGAATCAATATGTTGAAGAAAACACAAGACTTATACCTGCAATTATGTTCTGCCTTTGGAATTTCGATATTATTACGGAAAGTCCCCTTTTGAGATTATCCAGTTTGGCTGTTTTCAAAACTGTTACTACAACCCCCTAAAAGTCTTTCCAAGTTTACTAAAAATGAAGTAATTGTGGCTTAAACCACTTTCCACTGAGCCCTACATTTATAAAAATTTTTAGAAAAAAATTGGAAAATGATCCACTTTTAATTATTCTTTTTTTTTTAGTAATTTATTAGATATACCAGTTGTTATAATATTATCTATTAATGAGGCAGCTGTTGCAGTTACCCTCATTGGGTTATTTATTAAAGGAATCACTTCATTTTCAAAAGTCATTATAAAATTTATTTATATTCATATTTGTGTGATATTCAAAACAATCTAAGTTCATATCACCAATTAAGTAATTTAATTTCTTTTCTTGAAATCTTTTCTTACAATATCAGTATTTATAAAACAATTAAATTACTCAATTATGCTTGAAGGTGGGCAATAAGGATAACTCAAAAGTATATTTTTATTAATTTTGGCTATAATTTCAATCATTATCTCTTTAACGCCATCAGAAATACTCATGTCAGACCTGATAATAAACTGTTTGTGGTTAATGTTTGCATATTAATATTTAATTGTTAATTAAACTATGATAAATTGAAATGTTCTTTTAAATTTGTTAAATTTCTTTAGTTTCATGCAAGAGAGTTTTTCAACGAAAGGTTTCAAACAAAAATGAACTTTACAATTACTGAAGGTGCACGGAATAACAGTGAATGGTGTTGGGCCACCATCAGAACCTACGCAAAAGAAAAATCTTATGAGCAAAATACAATTCTCAGGTGCAGATATGCAAGACATTCAATCTTTAAGTATGCTGGTTGTGTTTTCATTCAGAATAATACTTTTTATACAACTATTGAATGCTGTTGTGATGTGAATCCAATGAAAATTTTTCGAATGCAAAAACAGAAATAAAGCGAAAAGCTAAAACAAAAACAGAAAAATGCGCGAAATCTACGACAATAAGCTTGAATGAATTTCTGAACTTCCAAGCATGCTAAGCTTTCCTGCAATTGAATCAACTTTTCAAAACATCATTAAAAAATTTTTCCACCTAGTTAAAAAATAGAAAAAACTAGAAGCGATTGATGTGCTTAACAATAAAGAAAACTTTCTATATAAAGAGATCTACCAAGGATTTGTTGAAACTGTCAATGAAGAAAGAGAGAAAGAATTCACCATCTTTTTAAACCACCATCTTTTTAAGCATTTTAAAACTTTTGCATATGCAAAGTTTGAATTTGTTGATGCAACATTTGTGATTGTTCCAAATATGGGGTTCTATCAATTGTTATTTTTTCAAGTTGAGTGGCATGAGTGTTTTTGCCAGTGCTTGGGACCCTGATGACATCAAAAAGGCAATCACTTTATCTGTCTGTTTTCCAGAAACTAAAGCAGCTCATCGAACAAACTTGCAAATTCAAACCTGACAATTTAATGACTGATTTCAAACAAGGCCTTCAAAATGCTTTGCGCACATCTTGGCCATAATCAAAAGTTTGTGGCTTTCGATTCTATTTTGGACAAGCAATCATTAAAAAAATTAGGAAACTTCATTTGACAAATGAATACAGGGACAACCCAGATGTTAGAGAATGGCTAAAAAAATCACTAGGATTGTGCATGTTGCCAGCAGCAAAAATTCAAGAAGTGGGAATTGTCATTGTTTTAAAAACTAAATCAATTTTCTGGACAGACAAAGAAAAACCTACTGAAGTTTAAAAAGTACATAGATTCATTTTGGATTGCAAAAGTTGGAACTGAGACATTCAGTGTCTTTGACCACAAAACTAACAATAATGCAGAGCAATCACATTCAAGACTGCAGAAAATTTTCAAGTCAACTCATCCAGGATTTATGAGCACATTTTAGACTAAAGAAAAATAATTTATAAATTTTTAAACACTTATTTACTAATTTTAGACATAAAACAATGTATTTTGGGGTAATTTCCAATAAATATTTTATTAAAACCAGTGAGCAAAAACCTTGATTAATTTATTTACATTTGCAACAAATTACAGAAAGTTAGTGGCTCATGAACAACAGATGAAAAGTGTTACATCACTAGCTTTTTTTAAACATTACCTAGTTTCAATACCTGGTCCCTAAGGATTTAACAAACAGGTTTTTACAAATATAAACAAAAGGTGCATGCTGGTGCTTTAAAAAATTTTTTTTTAATTTATACAATCTGTAATTATCAGTGATTCCATAAAAAAAAAATTTAAGGTGAATATAGGTGAATACATAAACAAAAGCTGCTTTTAAAAAATTTTTTTGCCATGTAAATATATACATTCTGTAATTCACTAACAAGATATATAAACAGCAGGGGCAAGAAGCAGACTAATATGTCTTATCACCAAGCCCCTTGATAAATTCCATAAATATAAAAATTAATTTAAATATAAGAAATTCCGTTAACTTTATAAAATAAACAAATGTAAAAAAGTGGTAAAATAATAAAAATAAAACATCTATTATTAAAAAAGTTAGCAACAAGTGCTATTGGGTTAACATATTCTTCTAAAAAATAATTTTTATTTACTGAAAAATCATGAATTTAATTTTTTTTTTAATATATCAAACTTTAGAACACAAAACAAAAATCTAATGATCAAAAATAAAAAGAATAACAAAACATATCTAAATAACAAAGACATAAACTGAATAACAAAGACATAAATAAATTTAAAAAATTACAAAGTGCATTTAACTCAATCCTTTTTAAAATTAATATAATCATTGTTAGAGTTTTAAGTTCAGTTGTAAGTATTTTATTCCATGCCTTTGGTCTTCTTATTACTATTGTATATTTCGATTTAAATTAACTTATTAAGTTAATATAAATTGATATTAAGTTAATATAAATTGACAAAACTTTTTTTTCTTTTTGACATCGCTTCCAACAAGGCTGCAAGCAACCACTATTAGAGTTGGAAGTTACTGGAAGAGAAAAGATGAAGAGTGTAGAGTTGAAGATAACGATTGACAGACAACTTAAAAGATTGCAAATTATATGAATCAGGAAAGCAAGATGAAGGAAGCAAATTCCAAAGAACTAATGTTCAAGGAAAAAAGCTAGAGGGATAAGAGTTTTTGGGCCACTTAGGAACAGTCGCAAAAAAAGGACGAGACTTAATTGAATGACGAGTAACACAAGGATGAATTTTAGTAGATGAAACAAGAGAAGCTAGCTCTTTAGAGCAGTGCCCATTATAGTATTTGTAGAAAAGAGAAAGAGAAGCAACATTACAACGAAGCGTTAAGGGTTGGAGGATGGCTGCAAGAGCAGATCCAACTATGATTACAATGCGCTTTTGCACCTTGTCTAAAAGAGAAAGGGCATCATTATAAGATCTGCCCCAGATATGGCAACAGTATTCCATACAAGGCCGGATTTGAGACTAATAGAGATAAAGAATACAATCCAGAGTAAGAAAGTGTCAAGCTCGATAAAGAGATGCAACTTTAGCAGATGCTAATTTTGCAACGGATTTGATATATGGTTTCCAAAAAAGATCGGAAGTAAGAGTTAATCCTAGAAGATAGATGACTCATCGAGTACATTACCGTTCATAAATATAGGAAGGTCTAAATTATTGCAATATCAATTGGATGAAAAAAATTGAATTTTATCTGAATTAATGTTCACCAGCCAGTGAGCCCCATGCTGTAGCAGAAGCGAACAATGCCACTTTAGATGTGAGAATATCTGGAAGATCGTTAATGTAAATTAAGAAAACTATAGGGCCAAGGATTGAACTGAGGTTACAGAATAAGACGGAGTGCTGTCCATCGAGGACAGCTTTTATCTAATATATACTCTTTTTTTGAAGAAGAATCTGCTAAGTATAATTTAGTGTATTTTACAGATTTTTATTGTATCAAAAATTTCTTTTTTTATTTTCGACACTATTTATTAAATTCATTTGCAACATTAGGCCTTTTTAATATATTCGACACTATTAATAAATTAACTTAAGTTGTTAGTAGTTTGAAAATTTTATTTATTATGTTTTTGTAAGTACTATTCGTTTTTAAGTTTAATATTATTTTGAAAATATTTTTTGTTTTTTCAAACAAATTTTCAATTTTTTAAACTTTCAAAAAGCAAGGTCTGCACTTAAAAAACTTTTTTTATTACATTTAATTTTAACTGAAGAGTTTCAGTCTTTAGGTTTAAACTCCAGAAAAAACGGATTAAACAACAGATAATTTTTTTTTACAATAGTAAAATGTGTGTAGAAATAATAAAACTTTATCAAAATAATAAAATTCTCACAAAGCCATCATGTTGTCTTTTACAATTTCAAAAGCAAAATCAAATTCATGACTTTCCATTGCTGATATCTTTTTGCATATTATTGTTAAATCTAACCTAAAACAATAAAGTTAAAAGGTTACTGTTAGCTGTAGCTGTTTAGAATACCTTTTATATATAAGAAAGTCTATTATCAAAAAAATAATAAAACCGTGATTTTGGTGATACAAATAACTAAATACTAGGGTTGTTTCCGCACCTACCGTGAGTTTAACAAAAGTTATTGTTATATGTTAGATTACTCAAAAAAAAGAAATGCATTGGAAATGAATTTTTGCAGCCATCAATGTAATACTATAAGGGTCTATTAATTTATAAAATATGATTGAGTAAAATGACTTAAAAAATGAATACGTCAGGTAAAAAACATCATAAGTATATTGAACATAGAAAACCTTTCTTAAATTACTCACGGTCTTTAAATTTTATGATTAATGCTTACGGCAATACTGAGGAATACTCTTTAGTGGTGTAAATGTATACAATGGTGTAAATGTATACAATGGTGGAAAAGCTAATCAAAATAAAAATACTTTTATGAAAGAAATCCTTAAATCAAAATTATGTCACATTTTTTTCACTCTAATTTTTGACGTAATAGTTACATAGAAATTGCTAAATTAAAAGATATATTCAGTTTGATAAAACATTTTACAAGCATTTTCACCCAAAAGCTTTGGAATTTCTGCAAACCAATCTCTTATGGCTTTTTCAGTTACTCCTTGTTTAGCTTGGTTTAAGTATTCACCTTGTTTTTGAGATGTTTGTGACAGCGAAGAAATGCATAAAACCAACTTTTTGCAGGACGGTAGTTAGCAAATTGTGTTTTTATATTGTTGGAATTCAAATATTTTTGCACAGTATCTAATAGATGTACTACAGACAAATATGCTATTTTAAGTGTTGATACAAAAATCAGGTTGAAATGAAAATGAAAAAATGAAATGAATAGAATTTTTACAATCTGAAAGCAAAGAATTTTTGAATCACTAGTGGATGAATTAGGAAAGTCAAAACAATGTAATATAAGGGTTTTAAGTTATTCTTACTCTGAAATTTAAATCAATAATGTTTTGATCAAACTTTTAAAGTGCAGTTTTCCATTCTTATCATAAGTGTTACACACTTATCGCATATATTGTTGACACTTATTGTAGATCTTAAAATCTGCATTAGTGTCTGGTTTATAATGCGCTCGCAGTTACAAATGAAAGATTAATGCATTAGTAACATTTTATTAAACGTTTTTAGGTATGTAAATTAAAAAAAAAAGACTGTTAAATAAGCATTAATTATATAGTTATGAAAATATTATTATTAATTAAAACTAAAAATTTTAAAGTATTTCCATTACTTTAGTGCATATCCTTTAAGTTCTTAAACTGGAAAGGATAGAGTTTTATCTTACTTTAGTCTAATTTTATAATTTTATGTCAACAATGGAACTCATTTTCTGATTCAGTTTCAAGGCTTTACTTTTCTTTTGCAACTTTCTTTTTCTTTTTCAAAATTTTCATGTTTTTTCTTTCCTTTTTAGCATTTTCATTTCATAACTTTTTCTCTATAGCCAATTGTTTCTTTCTTAATTTTTTATCTTTTATTTGTTTTGGCCATATTAAAACACTTTTAATTGGATTTATAATTTCTGCTACTATTTTTAAACTGAAACATGCTGGTTTTGGTACTATTACCGCTGCAATATTGCAATGAGGCATTTCCATATTGGTTATAACGTTTTCTAAATTACAAGTTGTTGATAGATTTGTATTACTCTGTCGTATTTCATTAGGTAAAATTATAGTATTATATGTTTCAGTTAAAGCTCTTTTCCAAAAACAATACAGCTGGAGGTATTCAAGATCACCTTTCCAACCTAAATGTTCGCCAGCTATTCCAAACTGATCAATACACTTTTTAATAAAGGTCATGGGAGAGGTAGCTAATAAAATCACACTTGAATTCTCTTTTAATTAAGGAGTTAGAGCAACAGTTGACTCATCTTTGAACAATTTTTGTGTAGTCAACACTATTAGTATCAAATGGAAAAACTCAGGTATTTTTAAAACCACTTTTAATATTATTTATTATAGAAGAATCAATTATAAATGAATTTAATGCTTCTCATTGTTTATTTCTTGCCCTTCATGGTCAATGTGCCATTGTCAGCAAAAAGATTTCCACTTTGCTTTTATTGGTTCAAAAACTGCCACATCGAGCGGCTGCAAAATATGTGTTGCATTTGGGAACAAAGCAACAAGAATTATTCCAATTTTAGAGCAAAACTCACAAAGTTCAATAGAAAAATGTAACGTATGACCATCCAAAAAAAAAAAACTGGTAAAGGAATTTCTTCTTTTATCAAAAATGGATGAAAAACATTTGTAATATACTTAAAAAAGCATTGTACGGTCATCCAACCATTTTCACTTTTTTCAATACGCCCATCCTGATGGAACAACATTTATAATTCTATCTGGAAGATGAACATATTTAAAAATTGCTAATGATGGAGCAAAAGTTCCGCTGGCATTTACTGCAAATAAAGTGCTGATGCTTTTTTTATTACTTTAAGCACTTTCTTCATATGTATTTTTTTCTCATTCACCAATTAATAAATTAGTTTTTGGTGACAACTGAAAACTACTCTCATCCATATTAAAAACGCACATTGAATCATTCAAATATTGAGCACTTTCACCCAAAAGCTTTGGAATTTCTGCAAACCAATCTCTTATGGCTTTTTCAGTTACTCCTTGTTTAGCTTGGTTTAAGTATTCACCTTGTTTTTGAGATGTTTGTGACAGCGAAGAAATGCATAAAACCAACTTTTTGCAGGACGGTAGTTAGCAAATTGTGTTTTTATATTGTTGGAATTCAAATATTTTTGCACAGTATCTAATAGATGTACTACAGACATGACGAATCCAATTCTAGTGCATGTTAGTAACCACTTAACTAACTTGTTTTCAATGTGTTCACCTAGAACCAATTCATACCCGCAGTGTTATATTGTCATAAAAGTACTATTTTATCACAAAGCGTCTGATAAGGAATTCTAAATGTCTTGCTCACTTTTTACACAACCATACCTTTTTCAACAGCATAATTAGCATCATGTAATTGACTATCTATATATTGAAATCTTTGTTTTGAGCTACAAGCTTTTGTCTTATATTTTTATCTTGCCGTTGTAAAGGAATCTAAGTAAAATATTTATTTTTATATTTATTTTTAAATAAACAAACTGATTATTCATTGGACATACGACATGTATGGAATGATATTTTTTTTAGTTCATACTACTCGTACATTCAAAAATACTACATTGATACTATAATGATGAGTGGTTTTAATAATATTAATAATGATTCATGTTTTATTTACCTGATTAAGTCAATTTAGAAATAAAATGTTATCTTCTTAATATTCCTACACTTCTAACAGCTGCTACTTAAAAAAAAGTATTTTTATACGTTGATGTAATAAACCCACTGAGTTCATAAAAGTAACTATGTATTGCAGTTTCTATGTATTGTAATAGAAATACATGGCGATGTTGTTGATACACAAAATATGAAAATAAAATTAAAATAACTACTTTTTGCAAAATTTATGTTAGTATTTAGAACCTATGATCAGTGCTGACTCAAGGCAGGGGTGGAAATGATCCTACTAAACTACTAAAATTATGGGATGCAATAACAAGGTCTTTGTGTACATAATGATATTGGTTATTAATACCATTCAATTTTAAATTTCAGAATTATCTTAATTTAAAGAATTAAAATTTAGCACAAATTTTTCTTGGCATTGTGTAATAACAAGACAAAACAGAAAACAATATGACCAAAAAAATATGACCAACAAAACAAAAAACATGACCAAGTTTACTTGTTAAGTATAAAAAAACAATTGTTTTACAAAAAAATTAAAAATAATTTTTTAATAACATCTCCAAAATTGTGTCTTTAAACTATAAGCTTTTAAACTAGTCAATTGATAAAGCAATCAATGCATGGATACTGTTTTTTTTTTAAAAAAAAAAAAAACTGCTGCAGCATTGATGTTTGTCTTGAATGAAAATTTCTTGATTTTTAAAATAAATTGTAAAAAATCTAAATGTTAGAAGAAAAGGATATTTTACTCAAATTGTAATTAAGTCATATTTCTAGATAACTAATGATGTGAATCAATATGTGTGTGTCAATATATATATATATATATATATTTATATATATATATATATATATATATATATATATATATATATATATATATATATATATATATATATATATATATATTAATTTTTATTTTATTTTAATATGGTATTTGCGTTACATGATGAGCTATAGTGTCAATATGAGATTTATAAATATATGAAATATGACATATGAGATATATATATATATATATATATATATATATATATATATATATATATATATATATATATATATATATATATATATATATATATATATAAATGAGATATATAGTACGTTTTTGCCTTTCTTTTACAAAAACCTCACCAAAGACACAAATTGAAATATTTTGTTAAAAGTGAGGCACTATAGAAACAATCAAATTTTAGTTCATTTGAAACTATTAATCATCTGTGACTTTTTGTTGTATAATATGTTTCCACTTACAGTTGTTGCATGTCTGGAAATGTTTTCAGTGTGTTTACTTTCCAGTTGCCTTTTCTGGAAAATATCACGGTGTAAATTTCTTGCAAAAGATAAAAAATCAAAAAATGTAAGAATTTAAGTGATAGCTGATGAACTGAAGTGAGGGAAAAATTAAACTTTACACTCATAACAGAAATATCAATGGTGAGGAAGATAGATGCATTAAAAATATGATAACTAAAGCGAAGTGTATAAATTAAGTTTGCAAATGTGTTTGATATTACAAAAACAGATAGCATCTGGTTAGCAATAAAAGATAAAAAATTTTATGAAATGCAGATTAAATTACAAGGAGAAGTTGCTATGCAACAACAATATAAGTTAAAGGGAATACACCAAAAGTTGCCAAAGAAAATACCTTTAGCAGTAGTGAATGTAATACTTCTACTTCAAATAGAAATATAGAATTCGAAATTGCTTCCAATAAAGACCATACAATATTCCACCTCAGAAACCGCAGATCATCTAGTGAAACAGACTAATTTAAGTTCCTCCAAATCAGCAACGGCTTGTGAGCAACTATCTGACTCAGGTATTGATATCCCTAAACCAACTCAATCTGTAATAAATGAGGCATCTGTTAGAGAATCACAGAAAATGCACCAGAACTTTGAAGAAACTTTTCAATTATTATATTAAACTATTGTTTTAAAAAAAACAGCACCATGAAGTTGGTCTAACAGCACTAACTCTTAGTGATTGAAAAGCATTAACAATATTTAATGGAAAAAAAATAAAATTACAATCTGTGATACCACAAATGTCAATACTGGAGTGAGAAATGGAGCTGTTGTACCAATCCAATGGAAATTTAAAGAAAAAGGCATTCCTATACCTCAGTATATAGGATATCAACATCTTGTACTGGATTTAAACCTAAAGTATTCAATAGACCAAATTCTTAGTGGAAAGACAACATCCCAAAATATCATATGATTTTAAGCAAGAAGTCAGTGACCACTTTGCAAATCTAAGAAATGACTTTAGACGTAATAAAGTAATGTAAAATTAAAAATTAAAAATATCAAATGATGCAACAGTGTGCAGTTTTTATATGAATCAGAAAATGCTCACAAATATTACCAAGAACATGAATTATTTCCCTTCATTACTTTTAAAGCTTTACCTAATAAGAAATGCAAGGTGGAACTCTAGAGCAATATATGCCTAACTTGCATTTCTGTTACTTCCAGATCGACCTGAGCTGCATACTGAAATTTGTGAATTGATAGTAATGGTGAAGAATTTTACATGAAATCTTATTTAACATTTTTTTTTTGTATGTATTTTAGGTGATCCCAGAAGTCCTTACGGTCTTATCATAGAGCACCACGGGAGAGCATTTAACAGGAAGTTCACGCCTCCTTCCGTACCAATGTCGCTTGTTGGGCTAGAGCTGGCGTCGAACCTCGGACCTCTGGTTTCTGAGTCAGAACTCTAACAACTGCGCCATGGCTGCTCGAAAAAACATTAATAATGGAGAAATATTTTAATGAGCATGAAAAATATTGTGGTACTTTAACAGTGCCAAGATGCAAATTAAGTGATCACAAATAGCAAAATCCTTCTGGTTTTTAAATTTTTAAGTTTTTTAAAAACCATAAACTCTGTTTTTATCACAAAAATAGTTGTTATTCAATAAAAAAACATTTTATAAACTAATCTTGAAATTATGTTAAAAAGTCTCATAAAGCTATATTATTATTGTTATTATTGTTATTGTTATTATTGTTATTATTATTATTATTATTATTTTTATCTTATTTAAATCTTATTTGATATTTTCTTATAAACTAATTAAATGCTTAAAACTCTCTAGCGCAGATATTTATAAACAGGGGTGTGGAGTTGTAAAAAAAAAGTAACGACTCCGACTCCAGTTGTTGAAATTTTTTGAGTACAACTCCAAATCCAGTTATTGAACTTTTTTGAGTACAACTCCGACTCCGCCTCTAACTCTGACTCCGACTACAACTCCAAAGCAAAGTTTGATAAATTCTTTGAATTCTTTAAAAAATATTACACTATAAGTTAAAAAAAAATTTTTTGACAAATTTATGAAACGTTCTTTGAGGTTTAGTATAAACATAAGGTTAATTGAATGTTTTGTACATGCACGTGCAATACCGAGAAGTTTTACTATTGGAGTTAAAGTCGTGATTTTGTTTAGCGACTCCGACTCTGCTAAAAATGTTGCAAATCCAAAACTCCGACTCCACAGCCCTGTTTATATATTTTAAAAAAGACAGGTCTTTAAAAACATACAAACACTAATTTAAATCTGTGATATTTATTTTAAAACAAAACAAATAAACTCTAATAACATATTTTAAAATATAGATTTTTTATTGTTATTTTATTATCAATTAATTAATGTATAATTTAAAACATTTAAATTTTTAAATAATTTTTCTAAGTTTCCTTCTAACAAAAATCAAATTTTAATGTTTCGTACAAATAGCTTAAACTTATTTTTATTGACTGATTTTAAAAATAACGTTTTTTATTTTTGGTATCTTTAGTAATTAATATTTTAACTTTTTATATATGTATACCTTTTTAATTCTTAAATTAACTCATGTTTAAACAAACAATAAATTCAAATGTGTAAGTTTTGACTGTTATTATTTTTACAGTTTTAAATTTATTGTTTTATTTTTTCATAAATTTTTGCAATTTGATAAATTGATTCCTTCATTAAACTTTAAAGGATGATGGGAAATGCTCGTGTTTGTTGAAATATACAATTGATATACACTGAGTCCAGTAACTTACAAAAATGATCAACCAGAGAGAAAGATAAGAGTTTATTCAGAGAAAAAAATAAGTCCTGTCAGTCTACAAAGGGTTAAAACAGTGTTCACAATTTTTCATAAATTGAGAATTTGAAGACCAGAAACATTTCCAGGAATCACAATTTGTGATCACTTAGTTCACGCCTTGAGTGTTAACTGATAAGATTTTACTTTTATGAATGGTGATTAACTCAAAGAGTCATCTACCCTTCATCTTCTAGAATTAACTTTTTCTTCCAATCTTTCTTGGAAACCATATTTCAAATCTATTGCAAAATTAGCATCTGCTGAGGTTGCATCTCTTTATCGTGCTTGCCACTTTCTTACTCTGGGTTCTATTCTTTATCTCTATAAATCTCAAATCAGTCCTTGTATGGAACCACATCTGGGGTGGATACTCCAATGATGCCCTTTCTCTTTTAGACAAGGTGCAAAAACGCATTGTAAACATAGTTGCACCTGCTCTTGCAGTTAACCTTCAACCATTGTCACATCGTTATAACGTTGCTTCCCTTTCTCTTTTCTATAGATCTAGCATCTCTTGTGCCATATACTAAATTTTATTCTCGTGTCATTCAATTAAGTCTCATCTATTTACTGTGAATATTCCCAAGTGCCATAAAAACTCTTGTTTTTCTAGTTTTTTCTTGAACATCAGTTCTCTGGAATTCGCTTCCTTCATCTTGCTTTCCTGATTCATATAATTTGCAATCTTTTAAGTCATCTGAAAATCATTATCTTGCTTTATAAACTTTATCTTTTCTCTTCCAGTAACTTCCAACTCTAATAGTGGTTGCTTGCAGCCTTGTTGGAAGCAAAGATGTTGAAAAAAAATTATTATTACTAAACATAATGTTCACAGAATAAATCTATTGAAGCAAAGCTAATCTCTGCAAAAGAACTAGATGGTCTGTAATACTTAGCTTGGTATGTGGTATCCAAATTTTAAAGAAAGCTAAAGACGATAAAAATTATCAATCTGAAAAAATCAAATAAATATGCTATTTTAAAACACTCAATTTTTGAAAAAAAAAAAAAGCTCAACGAACTTACTGATGCTCAAAACAGAGTTAGACTCACTTCCAGAAGTTAAACATTCAAACAGAAATAAAATTTTAAACTGAAACTTTAGATACATTGTTGAGGATGATTGACATTACAAAGATATCTGAACTAATTAGAAATACAACTGTCAAATGCTTTTATAATGCAATTTGTTGATGATTTATGCCATTTTAAAACATAAAATAAAATCAAAACAAATCTCTTAAAAAATAAAAAATCTCTTAGACCAAATTTAACTTATAAGTATTTCAAGTATCAAATTTTATTTGAGGGCAATATCATTTTCATTGGCTAAATATGTTGTTCAAAGGTCAAAAAACTCAGAAGAAAAAAAAAACAAAATCAAAAGGTGGATCAAACATAAAAATCAACAAATCAACAAAAAGAGATAGTATTATTTTTTATAATTTTATTATAAAAAATTTTATCATTATTTATTATAAAATTTATATTATAAAATTTTATCATTATTTATTATAAATTGGTTTACGTGAATTTCTAATAATAAAATTAATTTCCTTTTTTTTATATAATTAAACAGTTATTAGTTATATAATTCTTTTAGCCAGACACTAAAATATACTATTTATACTAATAAAGTCAGCATGAAATACTACTGACAACAACATACTATATATGCAGAGGCTTCAGTATATACATTGTAAGAGGATTTGGCTTCGGGCCAGAAGTATTGACAAAAAAAATCAACCAAATCAACTTTAAGGGTAATAGCTCTAATTTAAACAAGAATCAAGCTTCCTTCCAGAGTTTTAAAATTTTCACCTTGAAACAAAAAAAAAGTTTTGCATTAGTGCTATTAAAATTGTTAAAACAGAAAAAAACTTGGCATAGGTTTGGTGCTATTACAGTTGTTTCAGAAACAATTTTAATTAAATTTGAATTAAACATGTTTTTTCATAACTTATTAAATTAATTTATAATTAATTAAACTAAATTATAATTATCTAAATTATAATTTAAATTATAAATTATAATTAATTAATTTATAATTAATTTAACTTATAAAATTAAATTAAATGTAAACAATAAAACATCATAACAATATTACAACATTACAACAAGAACATTACATCTACATTTAAATGTAAACAATAAAACATCATAACAACAAAAGAATACCCGTTGCGTCTATATTTATGAAAAGCAGTTAGCGCATCCAATGGATTTTCAATCTGAAGATCAAACAAAACTGAAGGTGTAATTTTATTGGATTTTATTGGATGTTAATAATATAAAACATACATTTCTATTACTTTGTTTAATTTACAAAAACTTGAAATTAACAAGGTAAAATAAATACCTTTTCAGCCTCAAGAACAGCCAATACTGCATTGTTTAAGGTTTGAATATCCTACAAAATAATTTTTAAGTTCATAAGTATTTTTAAAATATGAATATTTGAGGGATCCAAAAAAAAATTTTTTTTTTTTCAGAATTTAAACATGCTAAGGCTTTCTACTCATTACACACCATATAAGTAGTCTTCCAAAAAATTTATTACTTTTAATATGTTGGGAACAGCTACAAGTAAAAAGTTAGTTTTAATTCAAAAATAAATTTTTGTGAAAATGGAACATTTTCAACTTTATTAAGGAAATTTAATTTTAAACTGTTTGCTGAAATTGTATATTTTATTATAGATACATTTATAAAAGTCACTTGATTACAATTGTTTTCTAGATTATCTGCATTTGGTTGACATGAGTTCAGACTATGGCATGTTTTTGAGGCAAGCTTTCTGTGCTCTCTGACAACCAGCAATATATTCTAGAGACTAAACTTTTTTAACCATCACTCAGGAAGTTAATAATTGGAGATGTAATATCCAGAAGTTTAAGGTAGATGCAGTCACATATAAACCTGGCATTATGGTTAGAAACTGATTAATACAAACTAAACTTTTCAAGTTTGGATGAATTTTGCCATTCATATAGAAGTTAATCTACCAAGTGATTATAATTATTCCTTAGAAAGAAATTATGCTCAAGGGCATAGGCAATGAATTTCTTAGACTTGAGATATAAACTGTTAATACCACTTAAAATATCCAGCTCATTTTCAGAAAACTTCTTAAATTTCTTTACAGCACCTGCATTACTAACAATAAGGTAATAACTATCCATCTAAGTCTGCCTTAAATCTTTATACATCTGTTTAGAAGATCCTACAAATTGTTTTTAAAAAATAGTTTTGATGCTACATTTTATATCTCAGCAATATGGTGCCAACAAAAAGCACAAGAAGCCAGAGAACTGGTTGTCTTTAAACTCAGACTAACGTTACAATTGCTCCTGATTTCATTCCTGTATTACTTGTGTCAGAACACACAGCAATGATATTCTATGATATTTCAAAATATTCTACCAGATTCTGGTAGAATATTTTGCTTTTAGCTTTTAACTTTTAACACTTTTAACAGGAACAACTCCAAGAAGTAAATCATTGTTAGATGAAAACTTTGAACTTGTAACTGATACTAATAGTCTATCAATAAGAACTCTCATTGTTGATTCTTTTTCTATGTGCTTTAAAATTTTTCCATCAAAGTGAAGCAATAGGATAATAACTATTTATCTAAGGGTGCTTCGATTATTCTTTATCCATCTGTTTAGAATGTCCTACAGTTAATTCCTTGAAAATGGCTCAGACGCTCTATTTTATATGGATCTTAGTAAATGGTGTCTACACATGAGCCAGAGAACTGGTTGTCTCAAATCTCTGACTGAAGTTAAAATTACTCCATATTTATTATTAATAAGAAATCTCTTTCTCAATTTTTCTTTATTATGTTTTAACTTTTTTCTTTTATTTGTTTTTACTTTTCCATCAAAGTGAAGCATCAATGGTTTGTTCTTCATTGTTTCAGTATACTAATTACAGACTTTGCAACCTAAACAGATTTTCATCTTACGATAACTTAATAATTTGATCAATTAACAATTTAAAACAATCTATTATATTATTACAGTCTGAAAACTAACCTAATTTGCTAAATTCAGAATGAAATAGTTTATATGTGCCTCTTCTGATTGATTCTTTGCTTACCCATAATTCTATAATATCTCCTTCAAGATATTTTACAATGTTCGAGATAAACAGAGTTCGAGCTCTATACTGATACCACCTCTCATAAATGTTGGTGTGGTTTGCAGCAATCGAACCCTCTCTAGTAATTACCTTGTTTACTTTAAAGACTTAGGGACAAAACCTATGTTTTGATATAGGTCTATCAGGTTTATCAGCCAAAGTTAATTCATTGTTAAAGTCTCTGTGATGTTCTTCTCTATCTGGCAGGGTCTATCAAAAACGAGCATAAAGAAATCTTTTTCCTCTTTTGTATAATATTATACTAAAGATGGGAAATATTGCTGACATCCAAAACTGTCAGGTTGGCAGTTAGATCAATATTGCCAAATATTAATCTAACTGATAACTAAATCTAAATAGTTATATATATAACTAAATAGTTTATCTATATTTTAAACAAAAATTATAATAAATATATCTTTATATTTCAAACAAAAAATGCAATCTCTTAACTATCAACCTATAGATCGTATATGTAACACAAGTAAACATACGCGCTTTTCAAAAAAGTTATTGTTTATAGTTTTCCGCGTTTTTTTTGTTAATGTTTTTCAAAGAAATCTCTAGAGTATAATTTAGACATTACAATGGTAACTTTTTTTATAAATTTCCATTGAACTAATCATTACTAAAATTCATTCAAACTTAAAGTCGGCAGGAAATCTGTCGACTTATGAAAAGTGTCGACTTGACGAAGATTATAGAGACATTGTTTGTCGACTTTGGGCTGACCTAGTCTTATAAGGTATGTGTTCATTCAATATCATTAATATGTTGCTTATAAAAGTATTTAAATAATTGCTTAGGAGGTTTTTTTCCTTTATTTCTTTAAGTGACATCGCAATGTTTTATTATCAAATTTTTTTATAGTTTTGGTAAGTGACTATCTTTCTGAGTTGTTTTGGAAAATTACATTCCATTAGCGCTAATATTAAATTATGGAAATCAGATATTCATATATCTATTACAGTGGAGTGGCAGAAACTTGAAGAGTTATTAGTTAGAATAAAGTCAATTGTTTTTGGATTGATTATCTGTGTGTGTGAGTCTGTGTGTGTATGTATGTGTGTGCCTCAGGGATCGGTGCTAGGACCATTGCTCTTCATCCTCTACATAAATGACTTACTGGACAACATAGCTCACCATATCAAGATATATGCCAACGACAGCAAAATACTAGGTGTAATCAAAACAGAGGAGGACAAAACGCACCTCCAGCTAGACGTTGATAGCAAAACCAGGTATTTGGTCGGCTTAAGAAATCCTTCAGAAGCAGAGGTCTCATACTTTGGAAATTCCTTTACAAATTGTATGTTAGACCACACCTTGAATTTACCATCCAATCATGGTCGCCACATCTGAAGGGAGATATCAAGGCTCTTTAAACCATTCAAAGGATCCAATGAGGCTGATCACAGACATCAAACATAAATCATATGAAGAAATGCTTACAATTCTAGGCCTAACCAAACTAAAAGATAGATGAGTTAGAAATGATTTAATTCAGCAATATAAGATTACGCATGTTGTTGAGAAAATCAAATTTGGAATGCTTCAACATGGAATGCTTTACCATCAAGCGTTGTTAACTACTTTTCAACCGATGCATTCAAAAGTCAATTCGACACACTAATAGTATAAGTATAGACACATATTTGTTAGCATGAAGGTGCCTGGTGCTGCACCTCTTCATTAATATATTATAAACATTTTATTCTTCATGGATTAAAATTATTATAAATATTATTTGAGGTTGACAAAAAATCCCTGATCTCATTTATATGTTTTACAGTAAAAGCTTTGTATCAATTTTTTTTTTGCTAACCTGATATATATATATACAGCAAGCCTTCCCAGGAAAGGCGTGTGGTTTTTCATCTCGTATGACCACACGCGATTATAATATTTTAGAAAACGTGAACACGTCTGTTTGCAAGTTTTATAATAATGCTGAAAAAGTTTCAAAAACAAAAAATTAAAACTAACAAAATAAAAAGAGATTGAAATAGAAAAAAATAAAAACAAATTAATAACTTAAATAATTTGTGTACTGTTATTATTTTTGTTTCTTTAGAGTTACATTCAGCAACAAAATTAGATAAGACAAAGCAAAAAAAAAAACAGTTTGTCAACAATAAAAAGAATGATTTTCCTTTCCTTAATTTTTTTTTAAGAGGATAGCAAAAATACAAATTGCAATGTGTTTGTAATATTTATTTGTTTAATTTTAATGTAACAATAAGGGTTGAATTAAGCGAATGCAAAACGCAAAATCTGGAAAAATATCTAGTATTCAAAATTTTAGTTTATACAAAACGGTGTTCCTTGTTTTTAAGGGGAGAATCAACTTAAATTTGTTAGCGAAAAAATAAAAAATAAAACAATAAACTTTTGATTACAAAAGTAATAACACTCTAGTCACTAACTGCATTACAAAAGTAATAACACTATAATAGTGTTATTACTTTTATAACGCACTTATAACTTTTAATTTTAAAATTCATTCTTTGTTCAAGCAACATTAGTATTCCCAAATTTTAATTGAAGTAGAAAAATATCTAGAAGAATAAAGTGGATGTTCAAATAATGTTAAAACTAAAGTAACTTATAAAATCGTGACAAACAACTTTATGAAAACGTATCGTATTAAAAGTCTAGCATTGTGAAAAACGTTACTAATGGACCATAAAAATTTATTTTAAAATTAACCAATAAAAATTTTTTATTGATTGATTTTAAAAGTAACGCCCGTTTTTACGTAACGTTTTTCATAATGCTATACTTTTTATAAAGTACTTTTTATAACGTTGTTTAAGTGATATGTGAAAGTTCCTGAAATTTATAATAATATTTGAATATCCTCTTTATTTTTTCTAGATGCTTTTCTACTTTAATAAATTTTTGGAATTAATAATGTTGTTTGAACAAAGCATGAACTTTAAAAGTAATAAGTGTTTTATAAATGTAATAACACTATTATAGTTTTTTTACTTTTATAATGTAGTTAGTGACTAAAGTGTTATTACTTTTGTAGTTGTAAGTTTATTGTTTTTGTTTTGTTTTTTGTAACTTTCTTGCTAGCAAACTTTTAATAATTTGCTCCTTTTAAACAAAGTACACAGCTTTGCATGAACTAAAATTTTAAAGACCTAATATTTTACAGGAGTTTGCAAACGCGATCGTATAATTTAACTCTTGACATAAACTTGTTACATTATAATTATACAAATATATTTTACAAACAGATGACAATACATATTTTCTCTTTCCTCTCTAAATAAAAAAAACACATACAATATGGGAAAGTCATCCTTTTTAACGCCTAAAACCGTTTTTTTTTTTTTTTTTTTTTTTTGCTTTGACTTAATGAATTTTGTTGCCAATAATAATAACCACTAAGAAAAAATAAAAATAAAAACAACACACAAATTATTTAAACTATTATTATTGTTTACTATTTAAGTTTACTTTAATTTCTTATGCAGTTATTAAATTCAAACAATTTTTCAGTAATGCATATAATATAACTTGCGCAAACAGCCGTGATCACATTCGTACGACCACAAAAACGAAAAACGTTTTTGTGGTCATACAAGAAAAAAAACCGCATGCCTTTCCTGGGAAGGCTTGATACAGGGTGCGACAAATTGACGAACATGCAAACGTTTGCTAAAAAAAAAGACCGAAAATAAAAGACACGATTCCTTACTTTTAATTAAGCAAACATTGGCGTTCGCTTAAAATTTTTAAAAACGAACACATAGCTTCAGCAATTTTTTTTCCAAATAATTGTGCAATTGATAGTTTTTTATTTATTACAAAAAAAAAACATACTTATTATAAAAAAAACATACTTATTATAAAAAATACAATAAGTTACTAAAATCTAAAACCCATTTTCAACAACATTAAAAGAAACCATGCTAATACATTTTTCAATAGTGTTACTTTTAAGTTTAATAATTAAGTACGCAACTGAAGAAAGTAATTATGTCTTAGCAAGGTTTTTATATGCATTTACACATGTAAAAAACGCGTTTATGCATGGGAAATTTTAGTTAAAATGAGTGCATTTTTTTAAGATTTGCAGAAATATATATAAATTAATAGAATATTATGTTTATTACAGTTTTAATTTTTTGGTGTGCATTTAACAACATAAATAATATAATATTTCATTATTAAATAAGTCTTCTATATCTAGAATTTCTCATAAAAAAGGGCCTTTAGAAAAAAAGTGTGTGTGTGTGTGATGGTAGTGGGGGCATGTGCCCCCTTTCCCCGCGTTGTCAACCCTGTTATTTGACATACCTCTTATATTAGACATTCGCCAATAAATAAACAAACCTCAACGTTTATAAAAAAAAACAATTTGTCGCGCCCTGATATATATATGTATATATATTAGGTTGACCGGAAAGTAATGTCGTTTTTGCGCATGTTGACATTCGATAATCGTTGGCCAGTTTATTGTGTATCTCGAACACGTGCACAGGTTATTTTTATATTAGTGTGACTTGTTTACTTCTAAATTATTTAAAATTAAATAGTTTTCTTTGCAAATTGGAGTGAAATGGCATACGAAATACAGGAAGTGCATATTCGTCATTGTATGCTTTTTGAATTTCGCAAGGGTAATAACGCTACAGTTGCGACTAAGAACATTAGTGATGTTTACCCAGGTTCATTAGATGTTCGCAAATGCCAAAGATGGTTTTCCAAGTTTAGATCTGGGAATTTTGATCTTTCTGACGCCCATCGACCAGGAAGACCAATGTCATTAGACAACGACGTTCTAAGGGCAGAAGTTGAAGCAAATCCATGCCAAACGATTGAAGAATTGTTGAACACCCTTAACCAACCTTGGTCGACCATCCAAGAACAATTACACCAGATAGGAAAAATCAGCAGAGCAGGTGTTTGGGTCCCCCATAACTTGTCAGTGCAAAACAAAGCCAACAGATCAACCACGTGCAATGCATTGATTCAACGGCACCATGCAGAACCGTTTCTTGATCGTTTGGTCACTGGAGATGAAAAATGGGTCCTATACGATAATCCAAAACGCAAAAGGCAGTGGCTCTCCCCAAATGAGCACGCAGTACTGCAAAGCCGGGATTACACCCCAAGAAGGCGCTCCTGTGTGTTTGGTGGAGCATCCGCGGAATCGTCCACTTTGAAGTGCTTATTCCTGGACAAACTGTTAATGCGGACCTTTATTGTCAACAATTGGATCGAGTGAACCAAGCTCTAGTTGAGAATTACCCGGCTATCGTCAACAGAAAAGGTGTCATTCTTCAACATGACAATGCAAGGCCGCACTGTGCACAACGGACGCTAGAAAAAATTAATGAATTGGGATGGGAGGTGCTGCCCCACCCTCCATATTCACCTGATATCGCCCCTTCAGATTTTCATTTGTTCCGATCCTTACAGCACTTTCTAAGTGACAAAAAATTTCAAACTTTGTACTGCTTAAAAAATGGCATCTCCAGATATTTTGATGACAAACCAATACATTTTTTTCGATCTGGTATAGAAAATTTGCCCGCTAGATGGCAAAAGGTTGTGGAAAATGAGGGTGATTATATCATTGATTAAAAATAAATATTATAAAAAAATTATTTGTTTTAATTTGACGTAAAAATACGACATTACTTTCCGGTCAACCTAATATATATATATATATATATATATATATATATATATATATATATATATATATATATATATATATATATATATATATATATATATATATATATATACATATATATATATATATATATATATATATAAATATATATATATATATATATATATATATATATATATATATATATATATATATATATATATATATATATATATATATATATATATATATATATGTATATATATCAATTTATATTTGCATATACAGTATGTGCTAAAATTGTCACTGTGTTTGAACAAAAAATATTTCATATATATTTTATTAGAAAAGCTGTGAAGAAAAATAAAATTTTAGTTTTATTAATTAAATTTAAGACTTAGCTAAATAAAAATATTGCTTTTTGTTGAACTTATAAAAAATTGAATTTTTTTTTAACTTTTATGTGAAAAGCTAATGGTGACAATTTTGTCACGAATGAAAGCAATTAACATATTTTTCCACAGTTAATTAGGCATACGACATAAATTAATAGCTTTATGACTATATGATTGAGTTATCAACTTTTCACAGATTTTTAACAATTAAATATCATTTAAAGTTTGATTTTGTTTACAAAACATAAAAAAAGTATTGTTGTCATGAGGAAAATAAATCTTGAACTAGAAAAAAATATTGTGGAAAGGCTTAAATCCAGACAATCTTATCGTGAAATTGCTGCTGAGTTTGGAAAGTTTCATAATCTCATATATAAAATCATATTGCACAATAATTTAGAAGTAAATAAGCCTAAAAGTGGTCGAAAGAAAATTTTTACACCAAGAGACTAAAGAACAATCGCTTGTTTAATTGCTTCTAGAGAGTCTAAAACTGCAAAGGATGTTACTAATTTAATGAATAACAGCTGTGAGACTCATGCTTCAGTGTGGACAGTAATAAAGAGCTCAAAATAATTATTTTTAAATCCAGAAGGAAAATCAAGAAGCCATTGTTAGTTTCTCGTCACCGCCAAGCTCGTTTTATGCTAAACATCATGCACACATGACTTTTGATGACTTTTATGACTGAATTTGGACAGATGAAAGTAAAACTAATATGTTTGGATCAGATGGTACAAGATATACTTGGAGAAAGCCTAATTCACCATTAAGTGCTTGAGATTTTACACCAACCGTTAAATACGGCGGAAGAAAACTCTTGTTTTGGGGATGTTTCTGTGCTTGTGGAGTCGGTGAATTAAAGAAAGTTAATGGAATAATGAACGCTGATGACTATATCAACATCCTTAAGGTCGGATATTTCAAGTCTCTTTGAAAATGGGGCAGAACTGTATGTAACACGATGTTCATGCAAGACAACGACCCCAAGTATAAGGCTGGTAAGACCATTAAATTTCTTCACGAGAAGAAATTGAAAGTCGTTGACTGGCCAGCATAAAGCCCTGATCTTAACCCACTCAAAAATTTATGGGCGATAGTTAAACAACAGGTCTACAACTTTCCTACTCCACCTAAGAATAAGGATAACTTTGGGCTCGTGTACAAGAGGTTTGGTACTCAATTACACCCGAGGAATGCCACAAATTAGTTGCTAGTGTTCCTGAAAGAATTCAGGCTGTAATTAAATCTAAGGGAGGATACACTCGGTATTAATTTACTATAATATGTTATTTGCTTTCATTTGCGACAAAATTGTCACCATTAGCTCTTCACATAAAATTAAAAAAAACAATCAATATTATCTAAATTTAATAAAAAACAATATTTTCAGTTAGCTAAGTCTTAAATTTAATTAATAAAACTAAAATTTCATTTTTCTTCACAGCTTTTCTATTAAAAAAAATATAAAATATTTTTTTGTTCAAACATGGTGACAATTTTGGCACATACTGTATATATATCTAGATATGCGTATGCCTGCTTGTGCGTAAAAACTGTACATTTCATAATATACATACATACAATCATATACATAATTAAATCAGTCCAGAGAAAAAACTAATAATTAATAGATGATTAAAAAATAATGTATACAAGTGTTTACCTTTTATATTGAAAATAAAGGAACTACTAATTGTAAACAAATGCCTTCATTACCTGTTGCCTTTTTAGCTTCTTTTCTTTTCCTTTATCAGATTTCTTCTAAAAACAGAATTGAATAACAATAATATATTTATATCAAAATTATAAAATGTCATCACCTATTCATTTTGGTTTGTTTTAGGAAAAGTTACTTACTCCCATGACTTTCTTTATTCAAGCCATTCCTCAATATTATTCTTTTCACAATATTTAATACACAACTCTAAACTTAAAAGTAAAACAATAGTAAAGTGGTGATAAACCTTATTTTAATTTAAAACCTCTTTTTTAATTAAAATTCTGATGAAAGCAGAGAAAATTACTCTACTGTATAAGTCTCATCAGTTGCATTAAACATAACATTAAATGCCTTATAAGATTAACTATTCTTTATTTTAACTTTTTAAATTTTTGCATATTTCTTAGCAAACAACCATTTTCTTAAGAAATCCCAACGTAATAAATATTAAATGTTACAAATTAAAAATAATTTTCCAAAAACTATTTTTAAATTATAAAAATCATGTTATTTTTTAATTGTTGAATTAACTTTAAAAGTTCAAAATTTTAAAAAATAAAGCAAAATTATTGTTTTTGGTAAGCAGTAGACTGCATATATTATGTGTAAACTAGTACATCTACTACGCCAAACAAGTAACTAGAATTATTCATTAAGCAACAAGATAGTGTTGGAATAATTTTACTGACTGTTATTTTTGCATAGCAATATTTTACAAGATTTTCTGGGGAAAATAAACGAACATATTCCAATTTAGATTCTACAGTAAAATAAGTGCAGCTCAATAGGAGCTTTACAATACCATTTGCACCAGACAATATTATGGAAACACCAGATAGATTGCCAGTACATGAATTATGGTGCAAACTTTGTGCTTTATTGCAATATCTTTGAATCTCATAAATTTTCTCAAGTTAAACTTAGTTTAACTTAAAAAAAGTAGCAAGTTAAATAATTATTCAGCATAAAAAATATAGCCAAATTATTGCCATTAAAACAGAAAGAAAGCATTAGTAGAAGAATGGCACCCATAACTTTTTATTGAAAAAGAAATGAGGCTCTGCAATCATACTTTACTGTTGGTCTTTTTATTTTTGTAGTAACAATTAAACTTTTTTAAATGTTTTTTATTTAATTTTTAAGTCTTCAATTCATATTGCACATTTTTTTAATTTTAATAAATCACAAAAGAATATCGTAATTTTAACTGATATCATTGGCTACAAGAACCCTGACATTGATATCAGATTGTAATTGTCTATATTTTAAAAATTTATTGTAATAACAATGAGAACACAGTCAGTTTTTACTTAATGCTGTTATTGTGTCCCTGGAGCATAGTAAGAGATGAACCTTTTTTGGGCACATCGTAATACTTTGTTGCCATAAAGCTAGTATTAATAAAATAGTATCACGAAAACAAAGTTTAAAATACATTTTTTGGCATCACGAAAACAAAGTTTAAAGTATATTTGTAAAGATACAAATGCTAATCCCATATTATTACCATAATAAAATATAGTAGTAATAATATTATTGGTATTGATTTTGAACAATTTCTGAAACTGGAATTTTTTAAAAGTTCTAAAAGTTAAAAAGGTATAACATTGTAATTATGCTTTTCTTTAAATCTGACAGATCCAATGAAAAGCTCCAAAGTAATTCTTAAAATTCATAAATAATAAATAATATTTGAAAATTATTATCATAAATTCATAAGTTACTTATGATCTGTAAGAATTATTTATAACTTAATAAGTTATTAAGTAATTCATAAATAATTCTTACAGATCATCTCTAAGAATTATTTAAAGAAAAGTGACGTCATAATATCTCTAAAGTGACGTCATTAAATCTGCAATTAGATTTCATAAAGACCAAACTGGTTTTTATTAAATCTAGTAAAAGTATCAGGTAATTGGTATGCAATCGCGGTAGGGTGACCCATATTTTAAAGACAAAACCGGGACGCAAAAAGAAAAAAAAAATACGGTAAAAGTATGTTTTTTCAAATCTTAATCATCTTAGATAAGTTTTATATAATCAAATTAAGTTGAAACATCTGTTACAGTATGTAAACTTATCCTTATAAAATTCTTTATATTAAAATACAATATTTCTAGGGGTTATATATATACCCTCGTTATGCAAGTATTATAAAAAAAAACCGTTAAAAAAACAAACTTATAACAAAACTTCAATGTAAAAAATAAGGTTTCCAAAACGACGATGTAACGTAATCAGCGTCGTCTTAATTCAAACCACATTCATTTGGAGAACACTTGCGATAGTGTATTTTCAAAGACTCTCTCACTTTTCTCTTAAAATAGTCTGCCTCTACTTTAACCGTGTTGTTTTTATTCCAGCCAAAAGTACTAGGAATGTCCCGCCACGGTCTTTTTAATTATAGCAAATAAATTTAATTAAATTATAACAAAAATTTTGCAAAAGTTTTCTAGAACTATTTTATGTTTTTTTAATATGACAACAACAACAAAAGAATATTTTAACTACTACTTATTATACAAAAGTAAAGCTATGGAAAAGGTATGTAAATAGACGATTTCGGAGTGGGTGCAAGTGCGTGGTTTAGCGTGATTGTTGATTTAGCGTGGGTGCAAGTTAAACTTTAAACTTTCCGTTTTTATGCGAAATTTCATATAAAAGTATTAAAATTTATTTAATTTAAGTTTAAAATAACTCATAGTTTATTAGTTAATTCTTGGTTTAAAAAAATTAGGGAAAAATGTTAAACTTGTTGCAAGAGCTTTTGGTGTTATGGAACTTATTCTTGAAATTATATCTTCACAATTTAAAACCAAAAGGAAAGGTGATATTATACCATTTTTATGGTTTTAAATTTTGTATTTTAAATGCTAACTATACTGTATGAAAACTTTAAATCAACAATTCACTTTAGTACATACATTTTATTACTGTGAATTGTTTGATCTCATTATAAAAAGTTAGTTATTAGTTTAAAACTAGTTAATTAAATTGTATGTATTATAATGCCAAGTCATAGCAGATCTTCAGTTAGTGTCTGTAATAATGACAAAAGATACCCTGACGAAATTATAAAACATAGCAATGTTGAAGAAATTTTATAATATACTTTTATTGCTTTTTTTTTAAAATAAAAGCATTTAGTAAGTAATATCTAGTTTGTAATATAATGCCAAGTCATAGCAGATGTGGAGTTGGTGTCTGTAATAATTACAAAAGATACCCTGACAAAGTTATAAAACATAGCAATATTGAAGGAAATTTAATAATGCACAAGTTACCAACATGTAAAGAAAATCCATGATACATCATGGTAGCACTAGTATAAAAGATTTTGTTGTTCCTAAAAACTTTTTTGTTTGTTCGAATCACTTCCTTGAAGAAAAACCTACAAAAGATAATCCTGATCCAACTTTGTTTTTAAAAATTTCTACTAACACCATAGCAACACCAAAAAAGAGAAAAGCACCTTTTCCACAAAACTCAATTATTAATTCTTTAGTTACGAAAGAAACTAATTCAAATTTGATGGATGGTTGTTGCAGTTCTAATGTTGACTGTGGTGATTCTGAGTTGAATTTTGCTGTTGCAGATGAAATAGAAATAGCATCATCTAGTGAATTTCTAGTGTCTGTCCCAATCATGTTCTGCCAGTTGACAAGTGAAAATGATGTTTTTTTACAGGTTTGGTGAGTACTAAAATTTTCAAGTGTCTTTAATTATCTCAAACAAAGCTTGAGGATGTTGGGATGTTGCTGAAAAAAACAAAAACTCAATTATTAATTCTAAAAAAGTTTTAGTTATGAAAGAAACTAATTCAAATTCGATAGATGATTCAACATCAAAATCAGGAGACATAATATTGCCTCTGTTAATTCAACAGAACTTTACCTTTTTCTTAATTTCAAACTTTTGTTGCTGCCATCCCAAAACATGTTGGGATGGCAGCAACAAAAGTTTGAAATTAAGAAAAAGGTAAAGTTCTGTTGAATTAACAGAGGCAATATTATGTCTCCTGATTTTGATGTTGAATCATCTATCGAATTTGAATTAGTTTCTTTCATAACTAAAACTTTTTTAGAATTAATAATTGAGTTATGTGATAAGGGTACTTTTCTCTTTTATGGTGTTGTTATGGTGTTAGTAGAGATTTTTAAAAACAAAGTTGGATCAGGATTATCTTTTGTAGATTTTTCTTCAAGGAAGTGATTTGAACAAACAAAAAAGTTTTTAAGGACAACAAAATCTTTTATACCAGTGCTACCATGATGTATCCATGCATTTCTTCTTTCTTTACATGTTGGTAACTTGTGCATGTCCGGGTATTATTTGTCATTATTAAAGACACCAACTATACATTTGCTAAGACTTGGCATTATATTACATACTAGATATTACTTACTAAATGCTTTTATCTTTAAAAAAAAAAGCAATAAAATATATTAACTAGTTTTAAACTAATAACTAATTTTTTTAAAAATAAAATTTAAGCAACAAAGTGAATTGTTGATATAAAGTTTTCATATGGTATAGTCTATACCATTTAAATTACTAAAGTAGAAACTTTACTTTTCAATAAAAAAAAATGCAAACTTATTTTATATTACAAAATTTAAAACCATAAAAAAAGGTATATCACCTTTTTTTTTGGTTTTAAATTGTGAAGATATAATTTCAAGAATAAGTTTCATAGCAGCAAAAACTCTTGCAACAAGTTTAACATTTTTTCCTTATCATTATAAACTAACAATTTATGAGTTATTTTGAACTTAAATTTAGAAAATTTTCATACTTTTGTATGACATTTCGCATAAAAACGGAAAGTTTAAAGTTCAACTTACACCCCCAAGAGTATTTTTCCAAGATGGCTACGCTAACTCAAAAAATCGTCTATTACTTGGTCGGTGATCTCTAAACCCCGCCTTAATGGGGCCCTAAAACGTTTCAAAAAAAGAGCCTAAAATATATATTTAAAAAATTTGCATCTGTATTAAAGTAAGGATATTTTTTTCCGAAAAACTAGCAAAAAAAAATAACAAATAATGCTTAATTCTATGCTAATATTTATTATTAAAATGTTCTATGGACATTTGTTTACAGCCACGTGATACTAAAGTAACCAGTCTGGACTCAGAATATTAATATTTATTTTGTATATTGTATATAATGTTAATAGATTGTTATGGACCAAATGCATCAAACA